ATAGATTCAAAACAACACTATCAAAATCGCAGCAGGATTTTTTTTTTTTTGCAGAAACTGACAAGCCGATCCTAAAATTTATATAGAAATGCAAAGGACCCAAAAGAGTCAAAACAATTTGAAAAAGAACAAAGTTGGAGGAGGTACACTTCCTGATTTGAAAACTTAAACCTTTAAATATATGGTCCATGATTTTTAACAGAGGTACCAAGGCATTTCAATTGTGGAAAGCATAATCTTTTTAACACATGGTGCTGAGACCACTGGATATCCACATAATTTAGATCCTTACTTCACAAGATATACAAAAATTAATTCAAAATGGCTCATAGACCCATATGTAAGAGTCAAAACTATAAAACTTCTAGAATAAAATACAGGAGAAAATCCTTTGTGACCCTGGGTTAGGCAGAGATATAATACTAAAAGCATGATCCATAAAGAAAACACTCATAAATTGGATTTCATTAAAATTAAAAACATTTGTACTTCAAAAGACACCATTACGAAACTGAAAAGACAAGTCACAGACTGAGAGAAAATATTTGCAAATCATGTGTCTTACAAAGGACTTGTATCCAGAATACATTAAGAACTCATACTATTCAAAAATAAGAAAACCACCCAATTAAAAACTGAGCAAAAGATCTGAACAGACATTTTGCTAAAGAAGATATATGAATGGCCCATAGGCATATGAAAAGATGCTCAACATCATTAGCTATCAGAGAAATGCAAATCAAAGCCACAATGCGATATCACTTCACACCCACTAGAAAGGCTATAATAAAAAAATACAAAATAACAAATGTCAGCGAAATGTGGAGAACTCAGAACCCTCATACACTGCTGGTGGGAATGAGGTGCAGACCCTTGGCAGTTTCTTAAAAAGTTATTAGCATAAAAGCCCACAATAGCACTCCTAGATATAGACCCAAGGGGAAAGAAAACACATCCACACAAAGACTTGCACCCCAATGGTCACAGCAGCATGGGGAAACAGCCCAACGTCTTTAACTGGTGTGTGAATGAACAAAAGGTGGCAGAGCCATCCCATGGACTACTACTCAGCGATAAAAAGGAAAGTCACCATGGATACAGGCTACGTCATGGATGAACCTCAGAAACATGACGCCAAGTGTGAAAGAAGCCAGATGCAAAGAACACACATTATCTGATGCCATTTATATGAAATGTCCAGGAAAGCAAATCAGAAAGGTGGAAAGTAGATTAGTGGTTGCCTGAGGCTGGGGGCGGGAATGGAAATTGATGGTAAACGGCAAAAGAGATCTTTTCGAGGTGGTGGAAATGTTCTAAAAAGGTGTTGTAATGGTGGCACAACTTTGTAAATTTACTAAAAAGTCCTTTAAGTGCATACTTAAACGGGTGCATTTTATGGTAGGTAAATTCTACCTCCCTAAAATCGTCAGAGTTGGGGAGGGAAGGGAAGCACAGGCTCTAGATCCAGCCCGCTTGGATCCAGGTCGTGGCTCTATCACCTCTGAGGTGTGGGCATGTTACTGCAACTGTCTGTGCCTTAGTTTTCTCATCCATAAACTGGGAATCATAGTAGGACACACTGCATTGTGAGAATCGAATGAGTTAATACAGGTACAATGCTTAGCACAATGCCAGACACATAGTAAGCATTCAGTAATGTTAGCTGCTTTTCTTATTGTATGATTACATTCAACCAATTATCAAGCCTTGCCAATTTTACTTCGTCATTAGTTCTAAGGTGAATCACCTTTTCTTCCTAACTTCTTCCCTGGCCTTAAGCTCTGTAGCAGCTCTTAGAACACTTGCCGCAGTCTTCCTAACTTCCTCCAGGCTGGTTCCCTCACGGAGGCTCTGCAGCCTCCAGCTCAATGGCACAGGAGGCCCTCCCTGACCTCTGACCTCGTCTCCTGTGGTGTGGACCCCCACCCCCACCTCACATACACCATACCCATCAAAGCGGTGGACTTGCCCACTCAGACCCCGCAGCTGCTCATGCCATGCCCTCTCTGGAAAGCGCCCCTTCCCCTCCCTTTGTCCGTCTGCTCTACTAACCCTCCAGGGCTGGGCTGAGGCAGCTCCCCGCATGCCGCCCCTGACCCTCTCGAGCTGTGGCCTTCGCGCGCCTGTAGGAATCACTGTGCCTATCTCCAACATTGAACTGACACACGGATTACAGAACATGCCCCCTGTCTTGCAGCGGAGCCTAGCACAGTCCCCAGGACATCTAGGACACTGTGGGAGCGAGTTAAAATGTTGATGGTCAAGTGAACCACCAGACTACGCAGCATTTTCTCAGCTCCTCACGAGGGAAAGATGCACTTAGGCTTTTAAACAGCTTCGGCCTTTTGTTAACATGTCACTTACGGAAAATGACAGAAGTTGTCTAGGAAAATGGAACTCAATAAGGTTCTACATATTTTGAAGAACTACTGTAAGCAGTAATGAGATAAAGTACAGGGTCACACTACCTTCCATTTTATGCCACTTATACTTTGTACAGTAGTCCATCCAAATTTATAGAGACGGCAGGTAATGCGAATCTTTCCAGTGGAATTTTTCCTAACTTACTTGAAATGAGAGTTTCTAAAGAATGGAACTGATCTATTAAGAATTTTTGAGGAGGCTCATAGTAGGAATATAAGATAATCAACTTTAGAGGGATTTTATTTTTATTTTATTTATTTATTTATTTTTTGAGGAAGACTAGCCCTGAGCTAACATCTGCCAATCCTCCTCGTTTTGCTGAGGGAGACTGGCCCTGAGCTAACATCCATGCCCATCTTTCTCTACTTTATATGTAGGATGCCTGCCACAGCATGGCGTGCCAAGTGGTGCCACGTCTGTGCCCAAGATTCAAACCGGTGAACCCTGGGCCGCTGAAGCAGAACGTGTGCACTTAACCGCTGCGCCACTGGGCTGGCCCTGGATTTTATTTTTAAGAGAGCTTAACTGATTGAAGGGGAAAAAAAATACAATTACCCGGGTTCCACCCCAGAGATTCTGATTTACGTGGCTGAGGGGGGGAACCAAGAAAACATTTTTCAAAAGTTCCCCAGATAATTCTAAAGAGCAGCAAAGGTCATGATCCGTCCTACGAAATCTCAAATTTGTTCCTATATTTCTCAGTGTTCTTATTTATAAAATGGTGGCAGTTACACTTAGATTTATGCATAACTGAAAATCCTTCTCAAAGTACAATTTATCAATATATGTTAAATGGAATCCTTTCTTCCTATTCTCAATACCTTGGGTCAATGTAAAAGTAAAGCTGGACTTATTAAAACCACCTGGTCAATAAGCATTAATATCTATATTAGAAATGGACATTTAAAATCCATTAAAGGACAATTAAAACAAAAAAACAGACTGCAAAACCATAAAGTTAACCCACAACCAAGCACATACTAAAATAAAGGTGTGAGTCTAGAAGATACCTGAGAGAACATTTCCAGAACAGTAAACTGCAGGTCCTCAGTGAATAAATCCCTATTTGTGGACATGGAATTTTTTTCTCTAATCATGAAAATGAAAAGAAAAGAGATCTCAGCAAAGCACTGACTAGGTACTGTCTTGTGTTGGCATGAAATGGGCCCCGAGGGAGAGATGTGAAAGGCTTCAAATATGAAACTCAATTTTACAGTTACACTGAGTAGGACAGAAAATGTCGTATTAGAATCTTCCTAAAACGAAAAAAGTTAAAACAATCACATCGCATCCTGCAAACATCTACTCTTCTTCTCCAGAAATGCCCTATTGATTGGAGCTCTTTTTGTTCTTTCCAGAAACATTCGATCATCGATGCTGCGGGGCATTAGGACATGCCACCCCAAAATGTGCCACTCTGGCCTAAGAATAATTTCAAGCTGAAGGCTTTTGAGTTTCTGAAATCCCTTCTCTGCCTAAAAGCAGAGCTTCCTGACAGGCCTCAATTGTCATAAATCCCCTCCCAGTTTAGCTCTCATCTCCTCTTCGGGCCCCACACCCGGACACTGTCACAACTATCAGGTCTCCCATCTACCCTCCCAAGGGCTCACTTCTCTTTTCCAAAAAGTCCTGCTTCTCCACAAGTGTCTTTCTCTCCCCACTTCTCCCTACTAAGTTAGTTATGTAGGCCCCAAGTCTACCTGCCTCCAAGTGGCTCATCACTGGGTACCATGTGAATGCACAATGCACATGCTAATGAACTTCTGTTGGTCTCCTGTGAATCTGTGTTTCATCAATCCAACTTACAGGGCCGGAGAACCTAGAAGGGTAGAAGGAAAAAACATTTTTCCTCCCCTACAATACTCTGATACCTGATTTTACAAACATATATACACTCTGTCTCCCAGCTTTAAAAAGCTGTCTATTTTTTTAAAATCCTATAAGAAACATAAGCATCAAAGAGTCAAAACCCTTTGAGACTCTGGGTCCAGTTTCTTTAACTTTTCAAACTAAATATTAAAAAAATAAAAACTATACCAAAGTGCTTAGTGTCTTAGGCAAAACAGCTACGAAGAACAGACTTAATAATGGCAAACCATTTACTCCACGGACACGCAGCCACAGAGTAAATCAGTCTCCACGCCATGAAAATCCTCACCACAGATGTTTCCATAAATATATTTTACCCACTTTACCAGTACATTCCATCTTTTATCATTATGTCACTCTTTATCTTTTATTAAAAGATAAATTTGAAAGAGTGTATGGTGGCAAAATCACTTCAAATTAAATTTTCCCACTTTAAAACTAACAGAGAACTACATTTTATAATGGGGAAGACCGGCAATAACACCTTATTGCTATTAGTAATGGCAGATTAAATAAAGGAAAGGTGATGTTCTAAATACAGTCCTACTGGAAATGAATAAAGCATACAACACAGAACTGTGATCTGATCGAGTCACCTAGGCCAACATGGGCAGGGTCTACCCCGTTAGAAGAGAATTAGCTTTAGGAGCACGACAGATGCAGCACTTCTGCCATATGAAAAAGCACATAAAAGACACAAAGCAAAATATAATTATTACTTTTAGCATGTTAAAAATAATCACATCAAAAAAAGTATACAGATAAAAAATGTCATAGATGACATAAGAAAATAGTGTGTGATATATATATTTTGCATATATATATATATATATAAATCTACAGTATTTACCACTGTTGATATATATATTTTGGAGCAGCCCAGATGCTGCTATCATAAACTAAATTATACAGCTTGGTTTATTACAAGTCACAGAATCATGGTTTAAAAATTGGAATTACTCTCCTCAGCTACATTTTATACACATGTATTTCCAAGCTCCTGCACGCTCTGCATCAAGAGCCCGGTGCGAGCAGGACTTCGCTGGAGCTGCAGTGGAGCGCCTGGCCGCTCAGACACTGCATTTCCTTTGCCATTTAATAACATCATTACCGAGTTGATTACAATTACATTAGACTCATTATATACATAAAAAATAGTCACATTCACTAGCTAAACAAATGTTACTCTCATTTTAAAAGACAGACTTCTGTACCTTGAAAGCTTCAAGCTGCAACTTGCAACAAGAAGAGCCATCCATGGTAGGTTTTCTACTCTACTATTCAAATGTGAGCAAAGTCCTGTTGAAGACAAGCTCTCCAATTAAACACAAAGTCAGACTTTCTTGGAATGCCCAAAACTTTGTCAGTGTTTTAGTAATTGTAGTGTAACAGAATATATTTAAAGACATTGCTAATTTTTTACCATAAACCTGAATTGTTTTTCACTGAAAAAGAAAAGACTTTTGAAAGTGTAAAAGTCACACTTAAATTTTTTTCCGACTCCTAATAATTAGGATCATCTCTACAATTTTACATACTCATAACTTAATGGCCTAAGTGCAGCAATATCCATCGACTACATTCTTGAAAGAAAAGAGTGCCGGGAAAAGATCATGTAAATGACCACCCGGGGCCCTTTGTGGGGAGGCCCTGCAGGAATTTGAGGGGCAGAAGTAAGAAGTCACCATATTGTTAATTCTGCTTTCAAATGAATTTCAAAGGAGTTTGTTCTGCTGCCCCGTGTGAGTGCTTGGTGATCAGTAACTTGCAACTTCTCCTGCTGGCATCCACTGGAGAGTGTATTATAGCATTTCCTTTGCATCTGGCAAAGAACATTCTGCTCTGAGCTTTGCACAAGTCAGGCCAGAACAAAGAGCACAAATGCATTAAAACCGATTTCGTGTACACAGATACGGAGAGCGCGGCACCTGTGGCCATCAGCTTACTTTAACTGCCCCAAATTTTAAGCACCGTTAAGTGGTTAGCCTTTCTCTCCAATGTCTTTAATTTTCAGATTGAAAGAAAATGGCAGCAATTGAACAAAAATGATGAGCACTCTGTGAGATGCTGAATTAAGTTAGGGCAAACTCTGAAGTCAGTTTAGGACCTGGGTTAAAAATATAAGGAAAAAAACGACTAAAAAACAAGTTAAGAAAAAGAATAATAAATTATTCCATGGATCTAGATTAAAAGTAGTTTTTAAATGTTTCTTTAGTTCTGTGTTCAAATGTGTATGCATAGATGCCTATAATATCTGTTAAAGACACATACACCACATATAGCCTTGAAAATATCTATTCTACACAGAAAGTTTTTCAGTGCTTTGTAACATTACTCAAAATGGAATGGGCTAATAGAGTAAAAATGTTCAGGTTTTGGAGAAAGATATCAATGAAACTGAGTGATGAATTATTGTGCGTGCATCCCTAAATGCTATTGCTATGTTTCCATGTTAAATTCCTTTTAACAGGTTCAGTGATGACGCAATTTAAATGCTCATCTTAAGCAGCATCTACGTGGGGATGGAAACACTTCCGCATAGTCTTATTAAAACTCTGCGAGTTGTTTACAATAGTATAAAATACTGCTTTGGCAATTATAAACATAGCAACATGGGTTTCATACGATTTCTACTCTTTTGTCTTTAGCAAGTACAGATGAATTCTCACAGCAATACTGATTCTTGAATGGAGAGCCCGTCCCGATTTCTGTAGTGATACGCTGGAGACGAGGGCCCTGAATATTGATACCCGGAGGAACTGGCATCTTCTAAAGCTGGTGAAGTTCTATACCGCACTGGACTATCGACCGAAACCGCTGGGAGGTTACGGTCCTGAAAGGAGACATGCTGAAAGGCAGAATATTTTGGTAAATTGCTTAAGTGGCTACGGTTAGGATCTCGAGTCCACGACTGTCCATGCATCTCAGGTCTGTATGTGTAACTCACTTCTGATCGTTTTCTGTTATCTGGCAAATAATCCACTGGAGGAATGATGAATTTTCCATTCTTTGGTGACCCTGAATTGCCCGAATATCCCCCAGCACCAATATCAACAGGGAGAACTTCTATTCGACTAGAAGGTAGTACAAGGGGAGTTGGGCGGCTGTAAGATTTTTCTGGAGAACTATCGATCGAAAGAGTAGAACCATAAGGCCTCCTGGAAGGATTCATTTGGGTCCCAGGGGTAAGTTGTGGAGACACAAAGCTGCTGTTAGCAGTAGGGATGTGTTTGGGAGAATTTCCATGGTAAACAGGAGGATTACTATAAGATGGCGGATGCACGGTCCCGCCGTCTTCCCCATCTAGGTGAGATGGATATTTTGCATAACTTGGAGGCTGCACTTTAAAAGTAAACTTGTTTGGTATTTTTGATGGACTAGAACTTGGCTCAGCGTGCTTTCTTGGACTGTGAGAGTAAACAATATTCCTGGGACTTTGAGAGTAAGCCCTTTCCAGAGCCTCTTCGATAGAAGTGCCATTTTCATTTTCAGGTACATTATCATACTGTGATGCATTAGAACCACGTTTCCCTTCATCAGCATCCCAAACCTTCATCTTTTGCCTTACATTGGACATCCGAGCATCAGCAGAACTAGGGATGGTGACTGTAAGCGTGGGGTGTGCTGATCTACCTTTGCCTTCAACGGCGTATTTGGCAGTTTTTTCACTAGTTGAAGTATCTGACGGTTTATTCCATTTGGGCACAAATTCCTTCCTGATATTTGAAGTGGCATTGCTATTTTGGTTAGCAGCTGCATGATTATATTGCCTGGAATTGTCTTGTGGACCTGATGGAAGTTTTCTTTGAAAATTGGCCTCTTCTTTAAGCTTTTTGCTATCCTCGTCCGCCGATTTCCGTCTTAGCTGCCTTACTCTTTCCGGCGTACCAATTCTGCTTTGATGGTGAGGGGAATGCTCCTGTTTTTTGTGAGGTGATGAGCCACTTTCTTGTCTGCTGCTCATATGAGGACTTGACTTGCCAACACTTCTTTGTCCATTGCTCAGGTGACTAATGCCAGCAGACTGACATTCAGGTGGAAGTTGTCCCAAAGGTTTCTTTGGAAATTCATCTTCTTTACCTAAAGGGAAAGATACATGCATAAGTAACACAAATACATGAGTAAATAGTACCAAATATTAAGAATGACATTAGGAATAACTGCATATTCTTCATATGTGCACTCATACACATGAATACACCTACATATACACCACACAATTTTAGTGGCTTAGGAAAGTATTTTTTAGAGAATCTGATATTAAAACATACTAAAACACAAAATCTTATTAGGCACTATGAAGGTGGGAACATCTTATAACCTTATGAGTAAAGTTCACACAACTGTGTAACGTAGGATTCTTATATTTTGTTAAGACATATTGTTACATACTTTTTCAAGAAGCCAAGGCTGATATTCTCATTTCTATTCCTAAAACAATCCTACAGGTCAGTAATTCAGTGTCTTACCATTACATTACTTTCACATTAGCCTACCTCAACTGAAATGGTTTTGAGAACTCTGTAAAGCTTTTCCTATCAACTTCAAGTAGGTCTACCAAATTTAAAATTCAATTGATGGCCAACTGTGGTCTCAAAGTTGTCCCCAAATAGTTATTATTATCTTAAGTACAGGCCACAGTATAACTTCAGGATAAAAAGAAATAGTATGGCTCTATTTCAAAGTTAACATTCTAAAAGGATCCTAACTTTAAATGCAAAAAAAGAGAAAAAGAATAAAAAAAGAAAGAGAAAAGAATTTTGGATACTTTGAGTTTCATATTTTAAATAACCCACATCAGAAAATTAATGAGGAATTAAAGGAGGGTGCGATAAATCGGCAATTTAGTAAACAGTGTTTAAGATGATCTCTGACAATTTGGATACCCAAATAATATCTTGAAAAAACAAATTTCACTTATAAAAATTCTATGGTTTAAGATATATGTTTTTCACCTGTTATTACAAAATAATATATTCTCACTTTATAAGCTGTTGCTCTTTTCAAATATCCACCCACCCATTCATCTCACAAATCTTTCCTGAGTAAGCTCTGCTTGGGGCACTGTGCTAAGCAATGAGCACATGTGCAGTGAACAGGCGGACAGGCTTCTGTTTTCATGTCGCTCACAGTCTTGGAGATGATAATTTTGTTATTTATCCACATTTCATAATTGTTCTTAAGATATTTTAAAAAAGGATTTTTACATTGAAGAATTCAAAAAGTGGTAAAGTTTTCTGGGATTTATTGATTTGTATTTAAAAGCAACTGCTGGGGCCGGCCCGTGGCCGAGTGGTTAAGTTAGCAGACTCCGATTCGGTGGCCCAGGGTTTCGCTGGTTCGGATCCCATGCACAGACATGGCACCACTCATCAAGCCATGCTGAGGTGGTGTCCCACATGCCACAACTAGAAGGACCCACAACTAGAATATACAACTATGTACTGGGGGGCTGTGAGGGAAAGAAGAAGGAAAAAAAGATTGGCAACAGATGTTAGCTCAGGTGCCAATCTTTAAAAAATAAAATAAATAAAAGGAACTATTGACAGAGATTCACTGGAAATAATATGAACAAGTGCAAAAATAGAGTAAAAATATTCAATGAGCTTTTCTTTGGGAGGGGAAGGAGCAGAGAATGATGAAGAAACAACATCCTTTAAATAGTTAAGCTACCAGAATCAGAATTATTGAGCTAAAAGTAACCTTAGTGCTCTTCTAATTCAGTGGTTTTTAAACTTTCTAAAAGCAGACTCCTTTTTTCCAACCAAATTTCACATGAAACCGCAATACATACAGGAAATACAAACAACATTGCTCTAGTTAAAGTGAGGGGCTCAGGGTGCCTCCCAGTCACCCCTTTTTCCTCTTCTTCAACTGAGCAGCCTCTCCGAGCCCTGCTTTGCAGAGACCCAGCATTCCCCGTGTTTACAGATGAGAAAGCAATCTCAGGAAGCCAGGCAATCTTTAGTGGCAGAAACGGAATGAGAACCAGGACCCAGTATTTTCACTCCCAGTTCATGGTTTTCTTTCCCTTCACCAGGTTCACGAAACTCCACAGAAACTTCCAATGGTTCTAACTGAAGCTAACTTTACTGTGACAATCTTTGTGCAAGCTTTTCATTTTATACATTGGAAAGCACACAAAGCATTAGGAGTGACCACTTGTTCCATTCCTTCATCCATTCAACAGACACACACCTATCAAGCAACTACCCGTACCAGGCACTGCTCTAGATGCTGGCAATCCAAGGACGCAAGAAGAAGGTGACATTCCTGTCCTTATGGCACTACTTGTGGAGAGAGATATGAATACAGCGCCAGGATAAGGCAATCAAGATGATTTGGGGTGGGGCAGGACAGAGCAGGGAAGAGCTCCAGCAAGAACAAAGCGCTCTGCGCCTAGAGTGGGGGACGGCAGAGAACGGCTGGGGACAAGGTCGGAGGACTAGAAGAGACACATCGCACAGGGCCGGGATACAGTAAGGCCTCTGGGTTTTTTCTGAGTTAACTGCAAACTACTGGAGGCTTCTCAGCAGGAAAGTCACATGATCTGATGTCTACCTTATAAAGTTCACTTTGAACGGCGAGTTGGACTTAGATTGTATGATAATTAATGATGATAATAACAACAGTAATAGCTAATAATCATTAAGCACTTACCATTGTCAGCCGCAGCTCAAAAGCTGTACCTACAGTGCATGTAACAAGGGTCACTATTATTATTCTCATTTTATACATGAAAAAACTGAGGTGGAGATGAACTTGCCCAAGGGCTCACAGCTCGTACGCAGAAGATGCAGAATTCAAACCCAGAGCTGATGCCAGCCGTCAACCTTCACTCCTACACTGTACTACAGTGGAAGTAATGAGAAGCGGTTGCTTCTTGGATACATGTTACGGTAGGGTCCACACACTTGCTCATGGGTTAGATATGAACTGTGAGGGTTGAGCAGAGTAATGACTTCTGGTTTAAAGATGGCAACAGACAGATACTATTCAGTAATGGTTGGCATAACCAACACTGTTCCTATACTTTTTTATAAGGAAGATATTTTATGATATGTGGACAAATTATTTTAAGTGATAATCCAAACTTTAAAATGCTTGTCATTGAGAAAAGTTTTCTTTGTTTATGAATGTTGTATGGGAAATAATCTGAAGCATTCCAGTTCAGCTTCTGACTAGTCTCATATGAAGTATCTGGAATTGAGGTGAGAAAGTTGACTCAAATGCTGCCTGAGTCAAGAATATTCACAAGTAGTCATTCAGCCTATCAAAAAACCTAACAATAAAGATAAAATTAAAATTTATCCAGTATCCCCAAAAAGTTTTTATCAGCTCCACAAATAGCTAACCATTAATCCTAGAAAAATACATGAATTCCTTCTTCCCTGCAGGCAAAAAACCCCAACAAACACAAATTCTCAAGAGGACATAGATCTATTTAATAGAAAAACTGAATTTATGAATTTTCTTTTAGTCCCCACTCTGACAGTTTTCTAAGGGCACAACACAGTAATCTGAACGGCTAATTCAATGGCTGGTTGATATTCCATCAGATAGTAATATCAGCCAATAATCAAAACACCCTTTTCAGGTTGGTGAGTAGGAACCTGATAAAAACATAACCATTAAAAAGAAAAGGAAGACAGCGGCACCCAGAGTGGTTAATTCATGCCTGCAAGATGTGCTGTTACACAGACAAAATGGAATTCGTTGTAGCCATTCTCACGCCGAGCCCTTTAAGCTGCTGCCCTTCTCATCACTCAGTGGCTTTTGGCAGCCTGCAGAGAGCGCCACCAACATTTTAGTTCATATGAAATAATTTTAAATGTTTAAAAAATTCTCCACAGCAGTATTAAGCCAAAAAATGCAACAGATTTCAAAATGAACCGCTGTTGCAACTTGTACATGTACTCCGAGAACATCCATCCATCAGGGCAGAAAGCTTCAAATGTTTCTCTTAGCCCAGACTGCACATGCTCAGATCCCGTTTTCAATGTTTCAATTTACATCAATTTACAACTCGTGAAAACTAAATTCACTTGAAATTAGGTTTTTCCAAGGTTAGCTGCCTGCTACGGACTGTTGAAATTCCCCAATGTAACCCCCAGTGTAATGGTATCTGGAGACGGGGTGTGGGAGGTAATCAGGTCACGAGGGTGGAAACCTCATGATGGGATTAATGTCCCACCCTCAACCTCTCTCCAGAGAGGAGATAGGGCCACAAAGAGAGGTGTGATCTGCCCAGTTTTTACCTCCTCTGCAAAGGCTTCTAAAGGACTAGCCTTATTGTGCCACAGGGACTGCAGCCCATGGGTTCCTCCAAGTTGTGGCCAATAGTGGAGTGAGGAGTGGCCCCTGGCAGGACATGGGGAAACACCCGGTTGGAAGAGTGGTGGTCAGATGGGGAGCTCTGGACCACATGGGGACAAGCCATCTCTTTCTGCCATCACACCTTCCCAAATACAACAGAGAGGTGACACTTAAAAGGGAAGGCAAGACCGATACTTGATTAATACGTCTGAAGTACTGGACAGTGCCTGGCCCACGACAGCCCTCAGCAAAGAGCTGCACACTCTGGGTCCTGGGAAGTGGGATTGGGGACTAGAGTAAGAAATGATTCACCAGAGAACAAATGTGTGTGTTTCCTCTTCTTCAGCTGTGCCTAAAAACCACTCATTGTTATGGGCTGAACTGTGTCCCCTCAGAACTCACACTAAAGCCCTAACCCCCCCACCTCAGAATGTGACTGTATTTGGGCATAAGGCTTTTACAGAGGTAACGAGGTTAAATGAGGTCATTGGAGTGGGCCTCTAACCCAGTATGACTGATGTCCTTATAACGGGTGATTAGGACACAGACAGGTACAGAGGGACGATCATGTGAAGTCAGAACAAAAAAACGGCCATCTAAAGCCAAGGGGAGAAGAAACCAACCCTGCCAACACTTTGACCTTGAACTTTCCAGCCTCCACAACCGTGAGAAAATAAATTTCTGTTGTTTAAGTCACTCGGTCTGTGGTATTTTTGTTAGAGTAGCCCGAACTAAGACACCACCCTCAGGTCTACGTCTTAAAT